GGTGCCCTTGGTTTGGAGCAGAACCCCCTTGGCTACCAGGGTCTTGATGGCGGTCTTGACGCGAGCCTTGTTTTTGTCCACATCGTAACCGCCCGCAGCCAGAGACTTCTTGAGGGCAGCCGTGGAGACACCGTTCCGCTCCTTGGATGCAGTTACGGCTTTAACGATGAGCTCGCCGACGCTGGGACCGGCCTTCTTTGGCTTTGAAGCCTTCTTCTTCGGCGCTTTGGCCGGGGCAGCGGCGGGGGGTGCGGGCGGGGCGTCTTCTTGCTGTGTTCTTCCTCGCGGTAGAGTCAGAGAGTGAAGCAGATCGGGGCCGGAGCTGCACTTAAACACACCATGAGAACCGTAGAGACGCAGCCAGCCCGCAGCAGCTCAGGGCGCCGTGGAGCCCGGGACACTTGTGTTTTCTCTTCACCGGTTAAACGGTGAAAAATCACCGTGGGGGAAACGCTGAAGCCCGACAGCGAAGCGAGGCGACAGCAGACTTGTGTCTCTTCATATTGGAGCTAGGTTGAGCTGTGATTCTCTCTGCATTTTGTTTGTGGAGCCTCCAAACCTCACGTATTCCCTATCGTGGCCAGAGCTGCTCGGCGGCTTTTCCCAATCATTCCTCTCCGAAAATGATTAAAACCGGGTCAGAACTTGCACAAAAGCTGTTGTACCGCTGGCCCACATCTTTGTCCAGGGACTCAGAGTAAGAACAGCCACAGGTCGATGATCATTTAATAATAAATTGAATCAGTTCTGGTCGCAGCAAACACACCGATGACGGCCGAGTCCTATGGCGCCTCAGACTTCCTCTCAGGACGAGCAATTTATTTTAACAATAAACTTTAACACTTCTCTGCACTAACAACACGAAAGGTTTATAACATTTTATATTTTCTTAAAATAGGCCTGTAAATGTAGGAAATCACGTCGTTGCACTCATCAGTGTATCAATGATTGATGAGAATGGCTTCAGTTGGTGGTGCTTGTGAAAGCAACAGGACTCAAAGCTGCTGCACTAAACAACAAAGACCTCAGACCATTTATAAACGAAATTAAATTAAACCCTTTATTTCTGTGGATACTGCTGATTTGTCACAGTACATGTGGCTTAAAATATAGGCTATTCTGAAAAGTATCCACTAACATGCATGTGCAATGTGTCCTGAACAACTCAGTCACCTGCAGTTGAAGTGAAACTAAATCTTTATTTATATACATGAATTTATTTATGTATTTTTTAAAATGTGCACAATGTCAAGCATTATGTGATGTTTTCCATTTAACTGACATGAGTGTCTGCACTGTGTTGTTTGTACTCCGACCGCTGTTAGAGATGTTACAGCCTATTTAAGACAACCTGTAATTCTGTGATGTGCTCATGTCTCTTCATTTGATTTTAAATGTGACATTGAATACATTTTAGGAAAAGCAAAAAAATAAAAAATAAAAACATCTCTAGATTTGCAAAATGTCATTTTTCTTCTCATCTCCCAAACCAGACACACAAAATAAAATAAAAACCTACTGTCTGGTCTTTGACTGATCATTTACACAGCTCAGCTTGTTTAACTGGTGTTTATTGTTGATGTCTTTGTGCAGTGACTTATTAATGTAGTGTTCTTTATGTCTGTGTTTCATCTTTATGAAATAAATAACAGTGATGCTGAAATGCTGAGAGAAATCAGTTTTAAGGCCAAAATCACTGATTCTGTACAATAATGATCTTTGTACTTAGAAAGTATTTTATTTTTTGATGATAAAAACTTTATTTGTCCTGGAAATAACTCAACTGATATTCTGAGAATAGAGTAAACAAATACAATTAATTAAGAAACAGTTTGATATGAATACGCTGTCTATATGTTTGAGTAAAATATAGCTGATAGTTTTTGGAAATTATGTGGTTAACATAAATGGTAACATAAGAATAAATAATATAAAAATAGAAAGAGTACATGAAGTACAAACAGCTGGAGCAAACAGCTTTTAGGACAGAAAATTCCAAGTGTATTGAACCTGATCCTTATGTCCTATATTACTTAAATTCTGGAAAAATGAGGAAACACATATAAAACTGACACTAATTCATTCTTCATATTACAAAAAAGAGCGATGATGGTTATAACTGAATCAAATCATGTTACCATCTAGTGTTTTATGTAGAGTTTATCTGTCAAGAAAGTTTGTATTTATCACCTATTCATGTTCAGAAGGACAAGAGCAAGGGCCAGTGTTCTGGAATTATTGGGAAGATTAAAAACATGTAATGTTCATACATTTGAAAGATAGTATTGGGACATAATCATGCACATCTGGGTGGGTGAGGGTCTTGGCAAGTGCCAATGCAGGTTGTATTTATGAGAAATCTGTAGTTTGGTTAGACTGACATGGTACGATGCGGATCTGTGAGAAGAGCGAGCACAATATTACTACACCTAACATTGCGTAGTTACACTTTGTAGATATATTTACAAATATATCTACAAATTATATTTGGAGACTGAACCTGAAATACTCCCATGTGATAATTGTCTCCTGCTTTTATTACTGGCATAAAACAGTACCTGATGTTTACCACCATAATATTCGCATGTCTGTAAATAACCTCAGTAACAGTTTCAATCCTTGTATTTTGTTGTGACTGTGATAATACTGACTTTTACTGTTCATGCCTACCCATTTGTTATACATGCATTCTTATTACAAGACTAGAGTCTCTACACAGACCCAGCCACCACAATCTATCCTCATCTGAAACAGCTGTTAAAGCAGAGTTAAAGCAAACAGCTGGAGCAAACAGCTTCTAGGACAGAAAATTCCAAGTGTATTGAAAAACCTATGAACAGACTTATAGTTGTACCACCAACAATTCACAACTATAATGTCAAAATACTAGAAGCAAAATTATAAAGACTTTTTTCTAATAAAACAAACTGCTGAAAGAAGGAGCTGCTCTGTTAGACCATGTGGGTGGCTCTGAAAAGAGCCTTTGTGTTTTAAGGATAAGGAACCAGATTTAGCCTCCGAAGCCATACAGGGTGCGGCCCTGCCTCTTGAGCGCATAGACCACATCCATGGCGGTCACAGTTTTTCTCTTGGCGTGCTCGGTGTAAGTGACGGCATCGCGGATAACGTTCTCCAGAAAGACCTTGAGCACCCCACGGGTCTCTTCATAGATCAGGCCAGAGATACGCTTCACTCCGCCACGGCGAGCCAGACGTCGGATGGCGGGTTTGGTGATGCCCTGGATGTTATCACGGAGGACTTTACGGTGGCGCTTAGCGCCTCCTTTACCGAGTCCTTTACCACCTTTGCCTCTTCCGCTCATTTTGACTAACTCTTTCTAAAGGAAGGAAGTCGAATAATAGTCGTCCCCACATTTGCGCTATTTACAACTGATCGGCGGACCTAAGTGAGGACAGGAGGCGGAAGTTGTAATGGACGCCAACAAGATGTAGAACCTATTCTTAGTGTTAGTAGTACTAGTAACTACAATTTCACAGTTTTTTTTTAACTTTAACAGTCAATAACCCACAGTAAAATGTGCCAAAGAATGGGAGAGCGTTCCTATGGAAGATCAATGAGGAGTTAAATGATGTTTACTCATTGTTAATGATATTAATAATTATCTGACTGATTTACTTATATCTAACACTAGACCCACTGTTGCAGAATTACAACATCACTTTTAACAATTCCTAAAAAAGGTTAGCACATGTTTTTTTTCTCAAAGCCACATTTACATATTCAATGGGTCCTATTGTTTGTCCTCACAATGCTATTGGATAGAAGAAGTGTTTATAGGTCGGTCATCTTGCCATGAACTTACTCTGCCTGCAAACTTCGCATCAGCTGATTTCCTTTTTTTGCACAACTGGATTTGTCAAGATTCAAGTAAAATTCCTTAAATATTTTTCTGTGTTTATTACAATGTCTAGAACACAAAAATATTTTGTTATTTTAGAAAACATTAATCAAATTTGATTTAGAGCTTATTCTGTCTATGTTGTAATTCCACAATGCCGGGTCAGAGTGGTAGCCTGTTGCATTGTTCAGGGAGAGGTGTGAATGGTTTTGAATGTGAACCTGTAAGTGCTCTGGGAGAATGTGAACCTGTAAGTGTTCTGGGGGGATGCATGTGCATAATAGACCAGTCAGACAGTATTGTGTTGAATACAGTGGAATTTTGATCAGCATTTGCATTGAAATGGTAACTGGTACTTTGTATTACCATTATACTTAGATCTGTACCCTTTACACCACCCTGTCTATTCTTTCAGTTTATCTACTACAATGTAACACCTATATGTATTATTCACATATTTAATTTAAACTTAAACCTTTTCCATTTCAGAATGCCACCGGCACAGAAAGATCATCTATTCAGTGTGCATGATGTATGTGATTTCTCTTTTCCATTTCAGAATGCCACCAGCACAGAAAGATCATCTATTCAGTGTGCATGATGTATGTGATTTCTGCAGTCCAAAATGGAGAGAGCGACTTTGAAATGGACTCGGATGACACTGATGCAAGTGACTCAGAGAATGAAGTTGCAGATGAAATGGACAAAGAAAACGTTAGGTATTTTTAGTCAGATAGATATTGGATAGATACTTTATGTATTAGAAATGTTAGTGGAGATAGGATGTCTAGTTAGACTGTTAAATGCTTAGTCATGCTTATGAGTTTCTACAGGGTACATCTGGTCAAGGATAACTAGAGAGAAGCGTTGATGACTGTCAGCAGACAGGGTGTTTAATATTATTATTACGATGTGTATAACTGTAGCCTTAACCATAATATGTTCTTATGTTTAAGTCACGACATGTTACTAGAAGTCTGTAAGAATGTTTTTAGTTACACACTACTTAACCAACAGACACACACATTCACACGTTGATTTGCTTCATTGTTTGACTACTGCTATGGCCAGCTGCAAAGCTGGCAACAGAGACGTCTCGGTTGACGTTTCTGTGTAGTATGAGGCTAGCCCAACCGAGGAGATATAATCTATAGGCCTGGTTCCTACAAAAACCACCAACCCACTGACTGCCCAGCCAATGATGAGGACATCAAGCCTCAACCAAAAAAACACACCTTGCCCCGTGACAGGTTTCGTTGGCTGAAAAAGGAGTTTATCAGTCCCAATACTGATTTTTCTGGTTCAGACATAGCCAATGATGCCACCTCCCTCTTCACCCCGCTGGAGTACTTCCAAAAGTTTGTGACAGAAGATATGATTCAGGCAAGAAACACAAATGAGTACAGCTTGCAAAAACATGGAACATCTGTAAACACCAATGTGAAGGAAATTGAGAAGATGCTTGGCATGTACCTGAAGATGGGCCTAATGCAAATGTCTGGAGTCCCTATGTATTGGGAGACAGACACACGGTACACCCGTTTCTGATGTGATGTCCCGCAACAGATTCCAATCTCTGTTGACTTCATTACACTTTATAAACAACCTAACTGTGTCAGAGATGGAAAAGAAGGACCAACTCTGGAAACTCAGACCATGGCTACATTCATTAAGGGAGAGATGCCTGCAGGTGGTACCTGAAGAGCACAACTCTGTGGATGAAATGATGATTCCTTTCAAGGGGAGATTCAGTAACATCAAGCAATGTATGTGCAGCAAGCCACACCCATGGGGGTTCAAACTGTGGGTGAGAACTGGAATCTCTGGTATGCTCTGTGACTTTGATGTGTACCAAGGGACTGTAGATGGAATACGACAAGCCAAATCTGAACTTGGACTGTCAGGTGATGTTGAGAGGCCTTTCATTGGTGGTACCTACAACAAACACATGGGTGGTGTGGATTTGTTGGACTCATTTGCTGCCAAGTACAAGTTCCCCATGAAATCTCACCGCTGATACATTTACATCCTCTGGCACACCATCATCCTTGCTGTAATTAACGGCTGGCTCCTCTACAAGCGGAACTGTAAAGCTCTGAAGATGACTAAGAAAGAAATACTGAACAGGAGACAGTTTCAGGCACAACTTGCATCCTGTCTCATCCTGGTGAACACACACAACACATCACCCAAGAGAGGGCGACCATCTTCAGGGAAGACAGTGACATCAGGGAGCCCTTTGCATCCTCAGAAGAGACCATCCTCATCAGATGTGACTACCCCAGCCAAGAGGTCATCGGATCACCCCCCACTGGATTTACGCAAAGACATGATTGCACATTTCTCAGTAAAGACGAAGAGAGGACTCTGCAGACACTGCAATAATGGATAGACAAACACACTGTGTAGCAAGTGTAATGTTCGCCTGTGTTTCTCAGATGAAAAGAACTGTCTTAGGGACTATCACTGCTAGTAAACAGACTTCATTCATGAATAAACACTTATTCATAAAAATAAGATTGTTGTGTGATTATTACTGTGACTGCTTAAAGCAATCACACTCTTGTTGTTTCCAGTATTTATTATTATTGTTTGGAGATGGTTCCTATACAAATACAGAAATTCTGCTCCCAACTAGGTCCAACGTTGCAATATTACATTTCCCTAAAAACTTACTAAAATGTAAAAATTGTGAAAACTCTTTAATTCCTACATCAGAGGCCTCCTAAAACAATATCTGAGGTCAAAGCATTTTTTGCTCATTTTTTTCTATATTTGGGTTTTACATTAACACCCAACTTCACCAAATTATAGTTCCAAATGAAATGTTTCAATGAAAATATGAGGTGTTTACAGCATTTTGATGGGTGGCTCTATAATCAGAGTGCATCCAAACAGGAGGGAGCAGAGCCCCACAACTGGCCTTATGTTGTCACACTCAGCTTTATCAAATGTGCTACAAATACTGAAGGAGTTTAAAAGCCACCAGGACATAATAGGACTTTCTACATTTCTGAACCTTCCACAAAAACAGACTCAGTGTCTGACAAACATGTAATGTCAGTTCATATTTCACCTCAAAGGTGAACATACTGAGACATCAGTTTCCAAACTTTTAAGTATATTTATGTGTCTTTAACTTGTTTGCCTTTATATGTGAGACAACTCTTGGCCTTGTTTTGATTGTGGGCTAATTACATCTCCCACACAGTGGACGTAGTATGTTCATCATGACTGAGTTAATAAATGTAATCAGCTAATGTGCCAAGGGTAACAACCCATAGAAGACAAGTTGGAAACATGTGCGCTTTGTGAAGGAGTGCGTGGCTCTTAAAAGAGCCGTTGATTTAGTTGAGGCAAAGCCCAGAGTTTACTTGGCCTTGGCGGGCTTGTCAGTCTTCTTGGGGAGCAGCACAGCCTGGATGTTAGGCAGCACACCGCCCTGAGCGATGGTGACACCGCCCAACAGCTTGTTGAGCTCCTCGTCGTTGCGCACGGCCAGCTGCAAGTGGCGAGGGATGATCCTGGTCTTCTTGTTGTCGCGGGCAGCGTTACCAGCCAGCTCCAGGATCTCAGCGGTGAGGTACTCCAGCACCGCCGCCAGGTAGACCGGGGCGCATAGTTCCCTTTCCTCAGCAGCCTGTGGACACGGCCAACTGGGAACTGGAGCCCAGCGCGAGAAGAGCGGGTCTTAGCTTTAGCTCTGGCCTTACCGGCACCAGTCTTTCCACGTCCAGACATGTTGATACTTAACTTCTTTCACTAAGCTCGAGAGAATGTATGAACACTAACTCTGAGATGGCCTTATATTCGTACTGGCTGCTCTCTCATTGGTCGGATTGAACTGATCGTCCAATGAGAAAAGAGCTCGGATCGAGCTCTTGTGTTAAGAACAATACTTCCGTTTTGCGCTCGATTTCAAAATAAGCCCATCCTCTGGTTGAATTAGTTTACAAACAAGGCGCATGGATTTTAAGACAAATCCTTGGCACCTGTCGGAAAAAAGTAAACTAAATGTATGAATTTGAGTAAGTACAATACTTCCGAAATGTGTTTTTATAGGAACTGATTTGCATCAGTTTGTCCAAATTACCTAAAAATTAGCTGCACAAAAGACTATTATCATCTAAGGTCATTTACTATAGAGAAACTATTCACTTTATGATCAAAACTTGATTTTACAGTTGAATCGATTCTTCTATGAAATGGTTCAAACCATTTTATATACAGTTCGCTCTCTGTGCTGTAAATCTTTTAAAATCTATATAAAATTCCTAACAACGTTCAATTTTCTCACTTTTTATTTTTAAATTAAACAGTTTTCAGTTATTTAAATATATTAAATAAACTAGTACATTATTTAATCATTATATTATATTATAATGACATGTAAGAGGGAGATTTGCAGGAAACTGTTCACAGGTTCATGGTAGTCAATCACTGAGTGTTTGGAACTTTAATGTTTCAAATATACCACCTTAGTGTGAGAACTTAATCTGTACTGCTATGTCCAAGAGTTAGCCTTCAAACAACACAAACTAAACAATCACCATCATGAAGGATTTAATGCAGGGCTGCTGAACAGAGCTGGGTCTACCTCTTACTTTTGCAGTATTGACATGCCAACATTAGATTTTGCACACACACACACAAAAAAAAACTTGCTTCCCAGAAGAGAAAGCATTGATTTCTGCCCTTTTCCCCTGGTTTCAATGCTGGTGTTTATATGAAGCTCTTTATTTTATTAAATAGTCTGCATCAAACTAGTTACTTGACTTGAAATAGAGCTTCTGTTGTATACTAAACAGCAGGCAATACTTGTTTTAATTATGAAAATTTGTGGTCAAACATTAAGTCTACTTGTACAAAGGAAAACATTACGCTTTTAGTGCTTGTGCGTGGCTCTTAAAAGAGCCGTTGGGTTGTTGGTGTAAACTGGTCTCAGGTCAGCTTAAGCCCTCTCTCCGCGGATGCGTCGGGCCAGCTGGATGTCCTTGGGCATGATGGTGACTCTCTTAGCGTGGATGGCGCACAAGTTGGTGTCCTCGAACAGGCCGACCAGGTAGGCCTCGCTAGCCTCCTGCAGAGCCATGACGGCGGAGCTCTGGAAACGCAGATCGGTCTTAAAATCCTGAGCGATCTCTCTGACCAGGCGCTGGAAGGGCAGCTTGCGGATGAGCAGCTCGGTGGATTTCTGGTAACGGCGGATCTCTCTGAGAGCCACGGTACCAGGCCTGTAGCGGTGAGGCTTTTTCACTCCGCCAGTGGCCGGGGCGCTCTTACGAGCAGCCTTAGTGGCCAGCTGCTTCCTGGGAGCTTTGCCTCCGGTGGATTTACGGGCTGTCTGCTTAGTTCTTGCCATTAGAACCTTTCACTCAATAGCAAAAGAAAGAATATCACCCCCGTTAGATGAGCGGGTTTATATAGGAATTGCTAGAGCGCTCACAGCGCTGATTGGTCAAGCGGGGCATGCGCGCGCAGCAGCAGATTGGTTATTGGAGAAAAGGAATTTGAAATGTTACCATAAACAGTTTTCACAGCAGCTCAGGGCATGTTTTGTTAGGACAGTTGCCTTGTGCTGCCATCTGACTGACTCTCTTAGATCAGATAATCTGCAGATACTGATCAAATGAGGATTAAATCAGTCTCATTTGATCTGATGTAGGAAACGTGGGACTGATTTTGTAAACATTACTCTTTCAGTCAATGGGAAGGATAAAGCCGGTGGATTTTGATCAAATATTTGCAGTTTTTTTGTTCTGTTTATGACTAAAATTAAACATTTAAACACTTTTATTGATAAACTTTTAAATTTAACAGGTAAAAATTATGGTAACTGGTTACTTTGGGCCATGTTTTCTGGCCAAGGTTTTTGAAATAAGTTTAATGCAGAGGAAAACTTCACCAGCCAAGTCTCACTGTGGCTGTGGCTTACGAGGTAGGGCAGTCGTCTTCTAACCAGCAAGTTGGTGGTTCGACTCCCGGTCTCCCCGCATGCCTAAGTGTCCCTGAGCAAGACACTGAACCCCAAATTGCTCCCGGTGGTTCGACTGGCGCCAGTGTGCGGCAGCCTCTCGTCATCGGTGTGTGAATGGGTGAATGGTGTATAATCTCCTGTAAAGCGCTTTGGCCAGTGTAACACACTGTGAGAAAGCGCTATATAAAATACAGTCCAATATTAGCGATTTCACTCCTGATCTGTAGTTCGTTGGAAAATTTAATACCTGTATATACAGATATTGTGACACTTACAGGTCTCTAGTTCATAAGTGCTCTTGTTTTTAATCCACATTTTAGTTCAGACATTCCTTTGTCTGCATTGTTTCTTCGCGTCACTGTTGATGTTAATACTGATTATTTTGTTGTATAAAACAGCCTTACACTGGTTTACTGTTTGCACATTGGGAGCCAATGTAACCAGAGTCAAGTTCTTCAGACCTGGCTAATAAAGCCGAATCTGATTTTAAATACAAGTACACACTACAGTAGCTGTTCAGAAACACCTAAAAATCACAGTAAGATGAAATACTGCAAAGGAAAAAGCTCTTAGTTGAAGCAGTGTGTGGCCCTTAAAAGGGCCTTTGTGTTGTCTGATACAGAAGGGGTTTACTTAGAGCTGGTGTACTTGGTGACGGCCTTGGTACCTTCAGACACGGCATGTTTGGCCAACTCGCCAGGCAACAACAGGCGAACAGCTGTCTGAATCTCCCTGGAAGTGATGGTGGAGCGCTTGTTGTAGTGAGCCAGACGGGAGGCCTCACCGGCGATGCGCTCGAAGATGTCGCTCACAAAGGAGTTCATGATGCTCATGGCTTTCGATGAAATACCAGTGTCAGGATGGACCTGCTTCAGTACCTTATACACATAGATGGCATAACTCTCCTTCCTGGTCTTTCTCTTCTTCTTGCCGGTCTTGGCAACGCTCTTCGAGACGGCTTTCTTGGAGCCCTTCTTGGGTGCTTTCACTGGATCAGGCATGACTTCTCACTTTCGTCCGTAGGTAGTCAGATGAAGAAAGCGATCGTGAGCGGTCAATTTATATCGGTCTGATGCAAATAAGACTGTGCTTTTGCTCATGCGGGATTGGTTGGCTTTAGTGCAGGCCTGAGCATGCGCAGTGCAAACAATAGTTCCCTTCCCGCCCATCTGACATATCTGTTGGTGACGTCATTTCTCCAGCTGATATAAAGCGAAATGAATAAATGCTTAATCATTCTATAGAGCGCGCAAGCAAAATGCCAGAAGGGAACAAGCAATATGACCAGACTAATTACAGCATTCAATCATTTCATTAGATTTAATAGTGCACAGAGCAAATGTTAATGTTTGGGAAGCTGCTTTTTAACAATAGCTTTTCTTAGGTAATGACTGAAATGATGAACCTTTTAATTAAAACTGCTGTAGCTGAATTTTCTACCAATGATGCTTAGTACTTAGAAGTAAATCAGTGTTACAGCTGAAGAAGTCATTTTGTTACATGATCCAGCTGTTTAGTCAAGAATCTTTATTGTCATTATGCCTAGCACAACAAAATTATTTCCAGCAGTTCTTGACTTTAAAAAGCAGCTTATTTACATAAGACATAATTGTATAAGTCAATATAAAACAATGAGCAGATGTATGGGATGTATGGGACCTAATCAGGTGTTAGGTTATTTCCTAGTTAGATAGATATTCAGAGATTTGTTGTCTAGAAATGTTTAGTGGAGACAGATTGACTAGCTCAGGCTCGTAACTGTTCAGTTTAATGTGCTTGCAGTGCAGATTGCATGTAGGCCAAGGTTGCAGGCAAGGAGCTGTTAGTGTCAACTGTAATGCTAGTCTTAATATTTGTCTTACTGTGTAATGCCATGTCAAATTGTTCTAGATACACACCACAAAAACAACAGCCACACACCTTGACTTTTCCTCATGTTTTGGCTAACGTTATAGTCAGCTGCAAGCTGGCATATCAGGTGACATCACGGTTTGACGCCCTGCGTAGCATGGGCTAGCCCAAAATGATTAAAATTATATAGGTTTCTGGGTCCAGGCTCGGCTCATCTTTCCAAGCTGCCTGCGCGCAGGTTGGTGGTGGGAGAGATCTGGACGTGTAATGTTAATTTTACCTGTGATCCTCTGAATAAACCAGCACGGTTATTTTTTATAAAATCTAAAGCAGTCTACTTCGTCTTATTGTGAGTTCCTGGTTTAAAAAAGCCGGAAGAGGCTTTGTACAAAAACAGAAGCTTATACAGGTCAGCAGCATGTTAGCAGCAAAAGAGTGTAGTAACATTATAAGGTGCAGCTTGGTGAGTGCAAATCTCAGTCTTTAGGAAGAGGTGTGCGCATGGGTGTGTGTCTGCAGAGATCCAGTGTTTTCTTTGTGTCTGTCCATAGGGAGGAGGTTGTGTGTGTGACAGAGGTTCATACTCACTGTGATGTGTTAAGGTCACCTATGTGATCACAAGGTGGCAGCAGGAGACAACAGTGTGGCTGGCTGTGGGGCCATCAGAGGGGGGCGCTCTCACTTTACATGACAGATTTAACAAAGGCCTGCCAGCTCCATGGGGTGGCTTTTACAGCATCCACAACTTGAACCTGATGAGTAACATCAGGAAATCTGACATCTCATTTCAGTGAACAGAATGATCTGGACTGCTCTTAAATAGGACACTGTTATACCCCAGTTCTTTTACTGGACAGATCTGAGTAAAAAAAGGAGTCTGTCTTTCTTGATTTTAGTGCTGCTTTATTTACAAAAATATATATATAAATATATGTATAAAAAGGATTACAGAACACAACCCAGGGCTCCCTCCTTCAGACAAGCTGCTGGAGAAGAGAGCAGGGAAAAAAGCATTCGGCAACATAGAGCCTAATACATTTATCAGTTTTGGGCTAACCCCTTACACAGATGAAGTCCGTCCCGCAGACTCAATCTCTTATCTAGAGCTCCACATTCTTGGAGAAGCTGCGTATTACCTAGTCATAACAAAATGAGGTAGCTCAATGTGTGTGTATGTTGTATGCATGATGTGTAACTAAACATTCATTCAGACATAATTCTTACACAAGATTAATACAAGAAAACAATTGGTGTCATGGCTTACTGCTAACCTTGCAGCAGAGCACACAGGAGTAGACTTTGAATCTTACTAAACTGCATTACTAACACACATTAAAGTCTAATAATTATTTGACTAATTTATTAATTTCTAACAACACTAAAGACCTGTCTATTTTTGAGTACTTGGAATTTATTTATCAGGATGTGTGTGCAATGCTTGTTCTCATGGTGTCTGTTCTCTATTGCTGCTTGAGGTACTGAAATTTGTTTATCAAGATATGTGTGTGGTGTTTGTTTCTCATGGTGTTATGTTGTTTGTTCTCTATTGTTGCTTAAGGTACTGAAATTTGTTTATCAAGATATGTGTGTGGTGTTTGTTTCTCATGGTGTTATGTTGTCTGTTCTCTATTGCTGCTAAAACACTGAAATTTCCCGATTGAGGGATCAATAAAGTACCTGCCTACCTATGTACCTACCTACCTAAAGAGCCTATGTTCTAGATTTGCTCATCTTCCTTTATAGCATTTTACATGTGTTAAACTTAATATATACTGTAGCCTACGGTCGGTGTCAAAGTTTACATGTGTGTCAATGTGTCATTTAACTATTTCTACAGCTGTTTGTTTCCCTTGACACACTGGAAAATATACTTTTTGTTGACTTTGTTATATTTTCACAAGACTTATCAAAATGTGAAAAAAAAAATCAAACTTCTTTGAGACAAGGAAGCACAAGATTTGTTGAAATCATTTAAATCCCTAAATTGCTTGGACATAAGTGGCCCATTCAAGTGTCTGTTACCTTCTGACTGATCATGCAGGCTCTGATGTACTTTTATAATGTAGTCTGCTACCATTAGTACTATGTAATGACCCGCAATAAACTTTATAATTTCAGTACAGTAGCAGTATTAATAAATGAATGTCATGTTAATAAGAGTTTCTTTCCTGTTCAGAAAACCTCTTAATCCCACTGACTTTTGTAATGCAAATAATCTACCCAAACAGAGACTCAACTATTATTTCTGTGACTCACTTTATGCTTTGATAAAGATTTTTTTTCAAATGTTGTAACCTTTTCCATTTCATATTTTCAATTTTAAAGAACCACTTACCGGCCTCATTTCCCATAAACCCTGGATGTTGGCAGGTTAAATGTTATGGTGCAGGTTTGTGAGTAAGGGTCAGGTTTAGTTCACGTTTGCAGCAACAGACTGAGATTACATTACGGTAACTAGTGACGTGACAACATATGTGCACAATAAGAGACCTACTGGAATTGCTCTAAACAATCTGAGATGTAGGTTAATGTGAAATAGTTTTTGTGTCAATATGCTAAAGTGCCTTTCGACTCACCTGCTAGCTTTAATAAACTAGCAGGATTTATTTGGCAAACAGTATATACTGTATAACTGTATATTTATAACTTTTACACAAAACCTTGACTTCATGTGCTTTTTAAATACCTTTTGAATTACTACAGCTTTAAAAGCACCTTAAAAACCAACTTAACTGTTCTGGACAAAGCACTGCAGCTGCTGTGTTGCAGCTCAGATAGCTCACTATAAGCTAAGCTAGCAGCAGAGGACTGAGAGCAGCTTGATGTTTTGGGGGTTAAACGTAATTCTTATTTTTCCTCACATGCAAACTGTGTCAAGGTGAACAACAGCCAGTGAGGCCATAAAAAGCTTCATGTTTACAACCCACCACCATCATCAAACCTTCCATAAAGTGGAGTTTTATGGCCATCAGCTGGTTAATGGTTGACCTGAAGACAGGTGACAGAGGGAAACAGAAACAAGATGGACGCCCAGTTCACTCCCAGGCCTCGTTATCTCTTCTCTGGATGTTCTCCTCCTTGCTACTCATGCTGTCCTCCTGTCATTTTTCTCATCTCCTCCCAGATTGAAAAAGGCTTCAGCCCTTCAGCACGACCAAAACTCACAATATGAAACAATGACAATACAAAAGTCAGAGACTGCAAGAAGACGGTAAAAAGGAATGAAATCACAAACACCTGAGACGATAACACTGTAAAGTTAGTAATGTGTCTTTTTATCATATTTCATTCACAGGTGATTTGTCCTTTGTTCTTAGGGTGAAAGCTTCACAACACAGCAAGAAATAAAATGAAAACTTTGACAATATTTGTCAGTATTATTGCTTTTTTTTATAAGGTGTAAATGTGTTTTTATGTACGTCTTATAACCGTGGACTTTTATAGCTTGGTGTCACTGTTTTTAGATGCATTAGTTGAAATTCTTCAGGATTAAATGAAAATTTCAAATTTAATTTAATTTTTGCATAAACCAAGGTCAAAGGTCAGAGGCCAGGTCATTCTAATACTCAAAACTAATTATTTCTTGAACTGGTGCCATAATCACATTTTACATCTACTTATAATTATTTTCTTGCACTACTGTACACTATTTATGTAAATGTATACAGTTAGTTAACTTTCAGGTCAAGACTGTACATGTACATAAATTGTGGTAATAAAAAGGGTAATTTCTTTTAGTTCAGTAATAAATTAATTCATTGAACCTTTTTATTAAAAGTGTTTGACAGACAGAAGCAGTTGAACCAGAATCTTCTTACATTGTACAACATCAATATAATAATATCTATCAAACACTTGAAAACACAAATACTCGTGTGTAATGAGAATTATTGTGGCTTTTATGTGATTTTACTGCAGCAGACTAAACTAAATACTCATCAGTGTAAAACAATAAATCTCCCATAAATCCATAAAGGTGCAGATAATTCCCCTTCAGGAGGGCAGCACAGGGGGATTGGAGGGCGGAGAGGATGGTGGCTTCTTCTGGAGGGTTGTCGGTTTAAACTCCTGCAGCACAGTGCTCATAAGCAAGGCTTGTACTGAACCTACTGAACAGTGAAGCAACAAGACTGTGCACAGTGGCCTTCAGGCATGCCAGTTTAAAATATTATAATGAACTTTGTAAAAGAAAACATGTTTCATTTACATTTTACTGAACTGTGAATGGGATTTGGAGTCTGGCTCAAATGAACCAACAGGCCCATGGCTAAAATCACCACTAGTGCAGGGGGTACTTTACTGTAGCTGAAGTACAATGCTGAGGTACTTTTCCTGAAGCACCCGTCCACCACACATCCACCACGTGCAACACAACCCCTGAGTTTTTTGGATTTATTTCAAAACTGTTATAATCTGTTATTTAATTGATTAGTCAGTCAATAGATAGATAGATAGATTTTATCATCAAGATCAAGTCCAATCCAAACTTGTAACTCTTACATTAAAAACAAACAAATAAAACAACATTTCAATAAAAAGAGCAAATACTGAGAAAGGCCTAAAAGGTCAAATCATATTTATTTATCAGAGCTTAGTTTTCTCTTCTTTCCTCTCACATTAATCAGCTCGGACGTTCCCTGAGGCTTATGGGTATTGTAGTACTTGCTTGCACTGGGTCAGTGATTCACTCAGACTTGGAATGATTCACATTAACTCCACCTGTTCTGTTCGGCTCTATTCTATATTGTTGTTTTACTTTCACTTCATGAAGCTGCTGGGAGCTCCTTCACTTTATTATTTACTTTTACTTTTATCACCTGTTTGAATGTTTTTAGGGAAATGAATCAGGACAGATTAAAGAAATGTGACTAAGAGTATTATTATTATTAATACTTGATTTTTGCTTTAAATAAGACAAAGAAATGCAATAGCACACTTAAGAACAATGATTTTGGGGGGAAATCAGTGCTTACATGAATTTTGCACTAAAATTATTTCTTATAAATGTTTGTTAATTTGACCTTAATTTTTAATCTTATTTCAATTGTATTCTACCAATTTATTTATTTGGAATTTAAATGACCATTTTAAATTACTTGTATTTTTCAGGTAGCCTACAAATAAACATGCTTTTAAAATTTTATTTTACTATAAGCTTTTTATCAATTTAGCGCACAGAATTACTTATACTTAATCACCATCCTTCAGCATGAACAGTGTTATCAGCATTACAAACGGATCATCCTGAGCATTTTACAGGACTTCAGGAAGAATTCAGGTGACATGGAGCTGTTTTCCCAGCCCTTCAGCACAAGTATGGACTGTGTCCCTGATCACATTCAGATGGAGCTGATTGAGTTTCAGTGCGATTCAGAGCTGAGGAATAAATTCATGTCACTGAAACTGACCTTACCAGGAATCAGAAACTAAAATCTCTTCAACAGATTAAAACTGCAATTTTTCTGAAGGCCAGAAGTGAAACCAAAAAAACAAATGAAACACTTTTCTAATAAGCATCTTATTATATCACTTCAACTTCAGTAGAGTCCAAAATATATCATTGAATTTAATTTCATCAACTGGTGGAAAAAACACTACAACAGGAAGACAACGCTATAAAACCATAATGTGGACACTTTGCTATGGTTTGTTTGATCTTTATCACACATTAACTATCAAGTATAAAAACTTTTTTTTAAGTATAAAAAAGACAGATTCAAATTCTTTGTTTTGCAATTTATGACAAACATGCTTTGGTGGAACTTGAGTGGAAATTTTATTTAAATGTATTTTAAAAGTTTCAGTTGACATTGAATTGAATAAAATCAGGTTATTTAATCTAAATGCAGATATGACATGCATGTCATTTTTGTAAAGACACTTAATAAATCTACAAATATATTCATGAAAGGTTTAAGAAGTTTGGGGGTGATTTATTTTAGAACACGTTGTATTTTCTCTCCTACAAAGGCTTTTTGATTTTTATATAAGAATGAACGAACTTTTGATGATTTGAACTTTATGTGACATATTACAAGAACACTAGCCTATTGTTGTTGTTGTTGTTGTTGTTGTTGTTGTACAGGCAGACAAACAAAAGGCAAGACGAGTCCTAACCCTGACACAGGATGTGAAACTAAAACTAAAATGAACGGATGAACGTGCCTCCGCATCTTGGCCCGTTCTCTCCTCTGTTTACCGTCATTTGTACGTTTGGCTCTCGCCCTTTGATGACAGTCTTTCTAATGCAGCAGCGGACTGTGATGCAAATGGAGGCTGAGAGGAGCCTGCAGGCCTGGGGGGTTGGTGGTGGGGGGTCGCGTAACCTGGTTCCCTGTGGACTTGTAGTACTTTTTATTTGTTTTGTGAATTAAAAATATTAGTAAACACCTTGTTTATGGACTAACTGTTATGATGATGATGATGATGATGAGGAAGTCAAGGTGAGGAAGAGCAGGAAGAGACGGGTGAGTGCCAGAGGGGGAGGGAGGGAGGGAGGGAGATAAGAGCAATAAAAGTGTCCATGTGACTGCAGCAGGTTTTAACGGGCAGCTGATGGAGAAAGCACTGAGAGGAACAGGTGTGAGCAGGAGGAGAGGGAACCTGCGACAGTGAAGCTGCTGTACCTGTAGCCCAGGTGAGACAGGAGAGAGCGAGGCAGGCTGGATCCGCACTATGCTGAGGGACTCCCCTCACCTGGAAAGATGTACGTCAGTTACCTGCAGCTGGACAAGGACCCCGCCATGTACCCGCACCAGAACGCGGTGACCCGCCACCCGGGTCTCAGCCTCAGTCCGCAGAACTTCCCGGTCCCCGCCCCGCCGCAGTACTCGGACTTCGCCGTTTACCACCACCACCACCACGGCATCAACAACGACACGCAGCAGGACGGGCCGCAGTGGGTCCCACGCTGGGCTTCCCCTCCACGGAGTTCCCCGGGCAGCCTCCTGCGCTGCTAACCGCGTCCCTCAACGCGGGGCAGCTGTCCCCCGGGTCCCCGCAGAGGAGGAACCCGTACGACTGGATACGACGCTCCTCAGCACCACCCTCCAACCCGAGTAAGACCCGGGACCGAGTTCTTATTTCACATTTAACAACGTAGCTGCACTATTTTGTCTTGTCTGTCTAATTATCACGGGAGACTCCGTAATATTTAAATAAGTCCTGCTTCTTTAGTCTTGGTAATATCACTATCTTATTTATTGCAATAAAACCTCCATGTCTGATCTTTTAAACTCACACATTATCCCACCGTGCACAGCTCTGGCCTGTTTTCTTCTGCTCCTCCACTAATTTTGCTGAGCCCCATTTCTCACCTAAAACTATTTAACATTGATGTGTTTTAAAAAGTTTTCCACAAGTGTGCTGGTCCAGCAGCCTCAACACCAACAGACTGCTGACCATTTTAATGTGAGACAGATAGGAAAGGCAGTGATACTCAAATGTGTGCACGTTTCTGCTCTGCCGGCTGCAGATAGCAGCAGCTGGACCGACCTCTGTGCAGCGAGCAGCGGCATGTTGGCTCCAGCTCACGGGCGTTCATTATTTGCATCTTACAGTCGATTAACTGGGCCGAAAGCAGTGAAATTCAGCGGGGTTGGGGTTCGCACGGCAGCTTTTACGGGCAATACGAAAGCCGGGCGACCGAGAAATGAATGGCTTTTCTTCACCACAAACAATTAATTAACAAAAGACATTTTTAAAAAATTGACAGCGTCTTTAAAAACGAGGGAAGAGTCAGAAATCAGATGCGCAGCCCCGTGTAAGAGCAAATTCATAACAATAACGTGTTTTATATCCAATGACATGACACGCATAATTTCAATGACATGTATTTTCTCAGTTTGGTTATGAAGGCTTAAATCAAATATTTTCAATTCATGTCGTTTTGTCACATAATAATTATTTCGTTTGAGGCTTTTGTGCCCAAACTGATTTTTCCGCCTCCCTTTCCGTTTGTGGGCCACCCTTCTCTATATGACCGACTTTAATTCCCTTTTTCTAGTTAATTATTCGGGGAGACCTTTTTCTTTACGTCAGTTGATATTTTCTGAAGCCGATTTCGTTTAGGAGGCTTAAACGCGATTTTCAGATTTCACTTTTACTCATAATTAGTTTGGCTTTATTTTTATTTTTGTTTTACTGAGCCAGTAGAGAATCCTTGGCCTGTATCTGAACAGCTCTTAAGCTTTTTGAGGCGACTCGGGTGCAGCTCAGCTTCCTAACTCCGCTATCAGTCAAGTTAATTCGCCTAAACAAAAAGATGCAGCTATCAGGACTAAATCTGCCCTCTCCCTGAATGTCGGGGGAAATATTCCCACCGGCCCAGTCCCATGCTGACGCCGGATCAAACGTGTGAAGCAGGTTTGAAGTCGTTGTGATGTAAATGCGCCGCTGGATGTGACTCCGGGGCGGCGAGGCTTCGCCTTTGTCTTCTGCTTGTTCCTGGGCGGAGAAGACACGAGTTTACAAGACAGTTCCCACTTTGAAGTGCGAAGTGTGACCCTTTTTTTTTTTTTTTTTTTTCCATTTTCAATAAACTTCACCTGGACTAATAGCTCAAGGTGCACACATGCAGGGCTGGCCAAAGTTCCTCAGGGGCCCCAGGGCAAGCATGCCCTCTTTGGGCCCCTGTTGACCCCCAGTCTACCTGGCAGTGTCATAATTCAGGGTTTTGCTGTGCTGACCAAGTTAAATGTAACAGTTTCTAAAACCGTTTTAATACTGCAGTACTTAAAGTACAATTTAATACCTTTCTCACAGTGATGGATGAGAATATGTTTATTACAGATAGCTGAGGTTATAAAATATATTACATTCTATCAAATATTTTTATTGACATTTATATTACATTTTTGTCAGTATCTGCCATCAACCCTGTCTCCTATAAATTATGTTTATATACAACATTGTACTGTGAGATTTGATATTTAGGTAGAAAACAAAGTGCTCAGTAGCCTAACCACAGAGCTGTTATGTGCCGTTCGCACCTGTCAGTGAGCGAACGAGAAAGAGGCAGACCCAGGTAGCCGACTTCGGTGCAAGCAATGATTTATTATGTACAGTGATGATGAGAGTAACAATACACAGAGGGAAATAGTGCGTAGTCCTGTCGATGAGTAGTAGCCGGGTGTTTGACCAACAGCAGAAGGCGAGGAGATGCAGAGCTGGGCCGAGCTGCGTAGGCTGGGTCACTCCTGGGCTGGTCGGTGGTGATGGTGGCTACTGAAGGTAGAGACAGAGAGATGAAGGCAATAGTGGAACAGATAGGCGACTGAGCATTGATCTGCCTGGGAGAGGAGAGTGGAGCCACGGTCCGGAGGAACAGTCCATGGGGGGAATATAGTGAGTGACCTAATCAAGTGCAGCTGGTGATAAGGGAGTGAGGAACAGGTGAACGTGATTAGTGTTAATGGGCAAGAGACAGTAGGAAAGGTGAGGGAGGCCAGAGCGGCCGAGCAAACCTGACAGGAGCCTATTTGTTATTTGCCAAATACATAAATTAGCAATACATGCTAATAATTATCTGGTCACAGTTGCATCTTATTTGCTGTTGCAGTTTAGCTGTAATTAGAAAACAGCATTGCAGGAAGTGGATTAACAGACAAAAACTGTTAGGTACATTTGTTTAAATTAAGTTTTTCCTAAATCTGACGTTTGCCTGTTAGTTTAGACTATTTTAGCTGCTGTGGCTAACATCAACAACAACAATAATAATAATAATATCCAATATTGTATATTATTAACTCATAAAAATTTACCCAACAGCATCCTGCCATACAATCCAATGTTGCTATAATATCAGTTGTAGTTTACAGATGTATACCATCTCCCAACAGTCCACAGTCAAACATAGTAAAGTTAAAGAACACACAGGAAATGGGAACAGACAAAACCACCATGAGTGTTGTTTTTCTATTTTCTCTAATCATACTCTTTGCGGCCACTTTGAGTCTTTGTGGTCATATCATGTCTTTTAGCTGAAAGTGTGGATACCTGAACCGAGCCCAGCAGGACCCGTCAGTACCCAAGATTACGGGCCAGGTTTGGAGTTAAATTTAGACATAGTGTTCAGGTCCAGGTCAGGTTTGGACACATAGATAAAACCTTAGGCTATCTGTCAAAGGCCTGCTTTGTTTAAGAATAAGGAGAAAAACACCATACAAACCACGCTGGGCTCAGATCAGTTTGGACATTATATACTCAGACAACACTCTCGGGCAGGGGTCAGGTTTGGACATAAATATGCGGCTCGATCCACATTCTATTTCCTACACAGGCAATGTGTCCATGATCAGGAGATTAAGTGAGTAATTAGTCCATGTTTACATTAACTGGGATAGGAACAGTGGGAAGAGACCATTCAAGATCAGATTTGGTTGTGTGAGGTTAAAAATTCATAGCATTTATGACATCACACTATATCTCATACTGTTACCTTGAAAAATGTACTTTGACTGACATGTTTGTTTGCTTTTTCAGGCACTTCCGTGTCATGTAGTGCTGAGTCGGGCTTGTTGGAGCGTTCTCTGGCGTAACCTAATTATAACTTCTCAGAAACACACAACTTCCGCTTGACTGTGGAATCAGATTTTACAACATGTAGGAACCAGGAAAAATAAAATTAAATAAAAACTAAAAACATTACAGTGGGAAAAGTGTTGTGTGAGCTCCACAGTTGGACCATCTCAAAGTGGGTGCAAACCGTCAGGAGTTTACAAACTACAATTACAGATCCACATTCATTCTGGTACATTTTGAATGGGGGGGGGGGGGTCTTGGTGGCGTCTCTTCTGATTGAAATGTGTTTTATTATAAACGTATTTAACATTTTACTCTTTGTACAAAGAACAGGAAGCAAATACAAAGAAAATGAATCTTTATTTAGCCACAAATTATGTCCATATTAACAGCAAACAGCAGCAGTTGGACACTATTAGTGAGACACATGAAGCTGGTCTTTGGCTTTGACCAGCCTCTCAATGTCAGGGCGAAGCTGACTAACTG